TTTCAAAGGTTTAGAGATTCTGATCCTTAGATGTGGGGCCTTAATAGCACCAGAAATGACCCTCTGAGTCAAGTGACTGTTCCATGTCCCAAACCAGATCCGTTTTTGATGTTCTGCAGACAGCCTGGCTGGCAGGGAAGGGGCCATGGGCCAGTGGAGGGTGCTGGACCAGACCCAAGGACTAGCCATGGCACTGATGTCTGTGGGAAGTGCATGGGCTGAAATTCTTTGGGCCCAAAGGACCAGTCATAGCCAAAGCAGGTGGAGTGGGCAGTGGACCCTGACCCTACTGTCACCCCTGCTCCCCTTCCCACTTCTCATTGACAGTTCAGAGTCATACGTCTGGCCTAACCCAGGAAACTTGTGCTTCTTTTTCTTCCTCCTCCTCCCCTTCCTCTTTCTCTCCACTCTCTCCTCCTTCTCCCTCTTCTCCTCCTCCTCCTCCTCCTCTTCTCTCCTTCCCCCTCTCCCTTCTCTTCCTCCTCCTCCCCCTCCACCTTCCTCTACTTCTCCCCCCTCCCATCCCTCTTAGATTTCAGTCCTACTCCTTAGAGGGAGTCTCCAATGGAGGCCTATTCTTTTACCCTGAAGTGATATGAGGGTATTAGTTCAGATATCAGGAAAGACAGAAAGAAACAATGGGTTTCTTGTTGCACTAGTCTAATAGAGGAGACTAGGAGGGAGGGGGAAGACAGTGTAAATGAATGGAGAGATCTGGATGCTGTTGCCTTAAAATACTTTTATTGATGCCTTTTTTATTTCAAATACCTCAGTCCTTTACTGATATTCACCACCTTGCAAAAAAGAAAAACAGGTTAACAAGACCTGTAGACAGTAAAACTGTGTCTGATAGTGTGTGTGCCATTGCAAACCCATGATCCACCACCTCTTCATCTGCTTGGTCAGTACAGAGCTGGGCCACCTTTTATCATTGGCATCATTTATATTACTCCAGGAGCAGACATTGCTTTCCTGGTTCTACTTCTTTAACTCCACATCCATTCATATTAGTCTTCCTATACTTCTCTGGGCTGGGCCTATTTGTCATTTCTTATAGCATAATCATATTCCATTTGATATGTGTGTATGTTCAATCATGTCTGACTCTTCTTGACCCCATTTGGGGTTTTCTTGGCAAAGATACTGGAGTGGTTTGCCATTTCCTTCTCCAGCTCATTTTACAGAGGAAACTGAGGCAGACAGAGTTAAGGGACTCATCCAGGGTCACACAGCTAGTAAGTGTCTGAGGTTGGATCTGAACTCAGAAAGATGAGTCTTCCTAACTCCAGAACCACCTGGCTGCCTCTCACATTTACATAGGCACATCTATGTAGGACATGCTGAGATTTACCAAGTACTCTCCCTCTCCTCCCCGCCATGATGTGAAATAGTTTTTAACAAGTATTTTGATTCCCAGTTTACATAAGAGGAAGCTGATACACAGAGATAGTGACTTTTTCAGGAGCCCTAGATGTGACTATGGGGCCTGTGTTTTTTCCACCCCAGTACTTTTCATCCTAGAGCTTTCAAAGGACCCAAGGATTCTAGATTTTTAGATGAAAGGAACTTTTAAAGTCATCTAGTCTAATCCCTTCATTTTATAGATGAGGAAACTCAGGGCAAAGAAATGAAGCGATGTCCCCAAGGTCAATCAAGTTACCACAGATTGGGGAATTGGACTTTACGTCGTCTGACGCTCAATCTAGATCTTCAATAGAATGAAAGCTTCTAGAGGGTTGGAATGTAACAACAGCATGTAGGGCAGTGCCTGGCAAAAACAAATGCTCAATAAATCACTGTTGATTGATCAACTCATATCTATTTCCCTCCCCCTCCCCTTTTCCCTGCCCACCATGAGTGCTAGGCACCAATGTTCCCTGATTCAAAGAAAATGATGCCTATCTGTACATGATCATAGGGAAAAGTAATTAGCTTTAGTCTTTTCCTATGACATTATATAATGTTTATTATGTGCTAGGCACATAGCAAAAAACAAAAACAAAAACAAAAGACCCCAGTCCATGCCCTCAAGGAGCATAGATTCTGCAAGATGCAACCAATGTTGGGTGGAAAGGGTTCAATATGGACTTGGATAAATATAAGGAAGGTGGGGGGGAGTTGGAAGGAGCTAGATCTAGGATTTCTTTAGTGTGGAGGATGTTTGTTGACCCACAGATGAGGTGTCTTATGAATAATAATAGCGTAGAGATGTAAGAACTGGCACCTCACCCTGACTTCAATGCCCAAGTGAATTTAGAGAGGGGCCAGCTAGGTGGTTTAATGCAGTAGGGTCAAACTCTGTATGACCCCACAGAACTAATAGAGGGGATTACCAAACTGTACGTAAGGATCATTGCCAGCCACGTATTGACTTAGAAAACTACAAATCACCATTACCTGTGTTTTATTGTATTTTTATTAATTTTGTTAAATATTTCCCCATTATATTTTAATCTGGTTCAGGTAGCTCTCGGGGCTAGAGGAGCAAATTGCTGGACATCTCTGCGCTAGGCATCTATGTATGAGCTTGGTTTCAGAGGGCCAAGGACGCAGATGATTCCCTCCAAAGAAGGACAGAAGTAGGGTGAGAAACTCTAGATATCCCAGAGTTGCCAAGGAGCCTGCCAAAATTGACAAAACGGTGACCCCTTAAAAGTCCCTGGGGGGATTCTTTAAGGAGGAGGGAATATTCACTCCAGTTGAAAGCTTACAGCTGTAGGAGTCGCAGCATCCCGAAGCGTGCTCTCACAGAATTCCTTTCCCCAACTGACGATTGCCCTCATTTTTCCCATAGTGGGGAAGTCCCCCTTCTTCACAGCCTTTCTCCTAGAGATTCCAGACCCCTTTCTCAGTGGGGTTTTTTCTGGGGCAGAGCCATGAGGCCAAACCCAGGGACTCCATCCTCCCAAATTTTGGGTTCTCGAGATGGGAAGTTTGACGGGCGTTAGTGAGAGGATGATGGGGGGTGGGTAATTCCCACTTGCTTCTCACTGGGCAAGTCCATCAGTTGCTGGCGGATTCCCCTGGGAAACACTTTTTTTTCTTTTTTTTTTTGCCACCTCCCAGACTGAAGAAGTGAGAGAGAAAATTAGCATCCAGTGAAGGAGAACTGGAGTGTTCGAGGCAGGAAATTTGGAACAGACGCTGCATCTAATAAGCCTATTATTAGAGGCTCTTGGCGGAGGAGGAGGCATCGAGTGCTAATAAAAAGTAGGCTCTTTGAGCTCAGCCACGAATAGTCTCAAACTCAGCAGCAGCTCCCTCCCCCCAGACCCTTCCTCTTCCGAGCCCCAGAGGATGTTTTGCAGAATGGGTGTTGCTTGCGAACAAACTTTCAGTTAAGTAAATGAGTCACAGGACGTGGGTTAAAAAAAGAAGAAACGTGCTGTGATTTCCCAATGGACTCAGCTGTTAAAATAATGCAACAGAGAGGGTAAAGTTTGAACAGATCATAGCCTTGTTCAAAGTTTTCCGTTATCAGAGCATCTGTCTCACAAGGCAGCATCATGCTGAAGGAGTCAGTCAGTAAACCTGTTAAGCCCCTACTGTGTGCCAGGCATTGTAGTAAGTGCTGGGCATACCAGAAAAAACATAATGGACAGCCTCTACCCTCCAGTAACTCCTAGTCTGATGGGAGAAGACAACTATGTACAAACAAGTATGCAAACAAGCTATTTGTTGTTGTGAAGTCATTTTTCAGTTATATTCCACTCTTTGTGACCCCATTTGAGGTTTTCTTGGCAAAGATACTGGAGTGGTTTGCCATATCCTTCTCCAGCTCACTTGACAAATGAGAAAACTGAGGAAATTAAGACAAACAGGGTTAAGTGACTTGCCCAGGGTCACACAGCTAGGAAGTGACTGAAGCTAAATTTGAACTCAGGTCTTTCTGACTCTAGTCTCAGCATTTTATCCACTTCTATCCTGCTGGTCCCCAGAAACAAGCTATAGACTGGGTGAATTGTAGATGATTAGTTGAGTGAAGGCCTAGAACTAAGGGGGATGGGGAAAGGTTTCTTGTAGAAGGTGGAATTTTAGCTAGGACTTGAAGAAAGCTAGGATGTGGAGATGAGGAGGGAGAGTAGTCCAGGCATGGGGGACTGCCAGTGCAAAGGCCTGGCATCTGGAGATGGAGTGTCTTGTAGGAGGAATATAGAAGAGACCAGCATCGCTGGGAGGGTTGGGTTTGGGGTGGTTTTTGAAAAGTTGCCCATTTCAGGATGGTATTTTTCTTTCTTTTTTTTTTTTTTTTGCTTTGGGAGGCTCAAAAGTAGAAATTTTCAAGGTGAACACTGTGCTTTTCTAGGTGTCCACTCTGGCTATTATAATTGTAGAATCCCACCTCTGTACCTTTTCAAAGCCGTCCCTCTTGCCAGACACATGCTATCCCATCAGTGTGGCCTCTTGGAATCCCAAGCTCCAGTCAAGACTCAGCTGTACAGCCACCTTAAGAGGACCTTCCTGAAGATCCATCCACCTGTTAGTGCTTTCCAGAAACACTTTGCATAAATTTTGTTTGTATTTATCTATGTTTTCCTCCAGGAGAGTGTAAGCTCTTTGAGGGCAGGAGATGACTAGTTTTTGTCTTTGTATCCCTAGCCCTAAGCTAAGTGGTTGTTGGGACAGCTAGCACTTTGAATAGGGTCCTGGGCCTGGGGAGGGAAGAACTGAGTTCAAATTCTGCCTCAGACACTTACTAGCTGTATGACAGTAGACAAATCACTTAACCTGTATGCCTCAGTTTCCTCATCTATACCGTGGAAGCCATTTTAAATTGAACACCATTCATTTTATTAAAATAAAATATCTTGAATAGTAGTATTGAAAGTGAGCTGGGTCCCATTGGCCAGTTGATGCCCTGGCACCGAAGGCCAGGCTCCTGATTATATCTGGTTGAGAGAAAAAAAGAGAGAGCCTGTTCCTCCATTTTGTAGCTGCTGGCCTTCATCCCTGGTCTCCCTGGACACCTCCACAATCTAAATTCTCTATTTCTCTTACAGTGCCAACAGTATGCCCAAGCAAGTGGAAGTCCGGATGCATGAGAGTCACCTGAGCTCAGAGGAACCCAAACGCAGAAACTTGTGCCTGAGGATATGGGACAATCTCGGGAAGAACCTTCTACTTTCTTTGACGGTATCTGGTATGTCCTGGATATAATTCCACTTCTTACTGGTCTAAAGGAAAGGGGACTGATTACAGGAAGGGGGATAACTAGCCCAGAGAAGGATGAGTCATCCAGAAGCAAATAATGATGATGATGATGGTGATGATGATGATGATGATGATGATGGTGATGATGATGATGATGATGATGGTGATGGTGATGATGATGATGGTGATGATGATGGTGATGGTGATGATGATGATGATGGTGATAGTGATGATGATGATGATGATGATGATGATAATCAGGTACTATTATGATCCCCATTTTCCAGATGAGGAAACTGAGGTGAATGGTGATGAAGTGACTTGCTCCAGGGTCCCACAGCTATTGTCTTAGGCAGGATTTGAACTCAGGCCCTCCTGATTCCAGATCCAATGCTTTCCATGCTAGGCACCATACTACAAGCAAGTAGGTAGCGTAGTATATACAGTGCTGGACTCTGAGTCAGGAAGAACAACAGCAACAATAATAATAGTAGCTAGCATTCTATATAGTGCTTTAAGGTTTGCTAAGTGCTTCACAAATATTAACCTGATTTTGTCCTCACAACAACCCTGGGGTGGGGGGTAAGTGCTGTTATTATCCACATTTTACAGAAGGACAAACTGAAACAGACAGAGGTGAAGTGACTTGCCCAGGGTCACACAGCTAGAAAGTATCTGAGGCTGGTTTTGAACCTGGGGCCAGAGCTCTATCCACCATGTCACCTAGCTGCCTAAAGGAAGAACTGAATTTGAATCCTATCTCAGATTGTGACCCTGGAGAAACCACTTACCTTCTTAGCCTCAATTTCCTCATTCATAAGAAGTGAATAATAATAGTACCCATTTCACAGATGAAATAATTTATTCAGAAGACTGGGGTTTAAATACCAGCTCTACCACTTGCTAATCATGTGACTGGATGAGGTCTCTTAACTTCCCTGGGACTCAATTTCCTCATCAGTAAAGAGAAGGATTATGATGATGGTGGGATTCTTGAACTTTTTGTGTGTTAATGGACCCTTCTGGAGTCCAGTTAAGCTTAGTGATTTCTCAGAATAATATTTTTAAATGTAGAAAAAATATAGAGGATTACAAAGGAAACTAATTATTAAAATACAGTTACCAATATAAGTATATACATATACAGTACGTATATATATATATATATTGACAACTGTATTATTACTATATTATCTATTTTTATATACATATACATTGGTAATTGTATTTCAGTATTAATTTCCTTTGTAATCCTCTGTATTTTATAATTTTAAAAACATTCTGAGAAGTCTGTAAACTTGATGATAAATACACATATATGTGTGTTTATGTGTATAACTACATATCTAGATAACGTATTATTATATATGATAATATATGATATAGTAATAATTATATAATACGATATTAGTAATTATATGATATAATATCATATACTAATACAATACTATATATAATTACGTATTATAAACTATTAATAGGTAATATAATAGATGGCCATATGATATATAATAATTAAATATGATTGTTATCTGGATACATGTGTAGATGTGTATGTATACATATATACATATATGTGTGTATACATACATACATACATACATACCACCTCACAAGTTCACAGACTCCAGGTCATAAATCCCTGCTCTAAGGAGCCCAATTCAATGTAGGTTCCAATGAGGTCAGGTATAGATTCATTTTTGTTTTCCTTTCTCCAGGGATGGCACAATTCCTGGTGAATGAGAAGTACTACATAAATGTTAGCCTTTTGATTTTTATCCCTCAAACAATGACCAGCATAGAGTAGCCCTTTTATTCATTCTTGTTGGGTTGACTCAAAATGAATTGATGCGAGTCCCTGACTGTTTTTAAGTCCCATGCTGTTCATGCTGCAAAATTCTCCTTAGGAAATGGGGCTGCCTGTATCAATAGGAGGAATAAGATATTTTTTACTTGATTTAGTTTCAGGGTACACAAGGCTTCACCTGACCCAAAATATGTCCACTCACCCCCAAGATGGCAGCCATTTTGTTCTCCCACTTAGTTGACATTTTACAATTTTTAAAAAGTGTTCATTAACAATAAAAAAAAATTAACAAAAGCATCTCATCTGTTTTCACATTCTTTTCTAATTTTTTTCTACTATGAATTCTTTTCATGTTTTTCTGTTGTTATTATTGGGTTTGTATGTGTGTTTGTGTGTGTGTTCATATTTTGTCTGCTTGTAGTTAGCATGTCTATTGCTGTGATGACCATTTTTTCTTCATCCTGTATCCTTATTTTAAAAAAAATTTCCCCCAAGTCTCTTTGATTCTCCATATGTGGCATTTCCTGTGCTGAAATCATGTTGTATTATGCACATGTTTTAAAATTTTGGGTCACCCAAAGGGCAGTGGAAAGGCACGTGGCAGCCAGGAATAGGCCCCAGTATGTTGTTCCCCAACAGGAATTGTACAAGAAAGAGGGAAGAAGAGATGTCACCTGACAGATGAATGGCTGGGCCAGTTGCATAATCAAGAACTAGGAACAATCAATGGCCAGTCCCATGTACTCCACTAGTATCTACGCAATGTCCAGAGACTCAAGCCAGCTCCCCAGAATATCAGGTTCCCCTGCCTCTGATGCCTCATGGAGGCTTCCTAGAAGGGTGTGGTCAAGAGTCTCATTGGCTTGGCAGCCTTTAGAAAAGGGTCTCTATTTATCCTGTTGGAGGAAATCCCCACCTCAAAATCACTGACTCATTGAAGTACCAATGGACGTCCATATATTTTCACCATAGAGTCACTGTTAGGGACAGGTCCTCTCTAACTTAAAGGATATTGTGTGACTCTCCGTAAGTTAACAATCTAACGTACTGTCCTTGCTCATCTAGCTAAGAAGGATTCCTTTGCAATTGACTTTTCACTTACTGCATTAATAGAAGCATTACTTAAAAGAGTTGAAACAAGACCATGGTGAAGTTTATCCAGCCCCAAAAAAGAAAAAGCAAGACTTGAATTTAAAAAAAAATCAAAATAATACTCATAAGACTTAATATGTGAAATATACGAGAAGAGCCTAGCATAATGCACCTTGTGGGTTCATTTTTACTGATGATCAAATTATGTCTTCTTGGTGGTCATAGAGAATATTGCTGATATTAACGAGCAAAGCCTAGACATAACAAGGGTAATACCTTTTCATGACTACACCAGTGTAATAAGGCTTTTACTTAGTGAAAATAAACATTACTTTAGGATTTTGAAGTAAAACTTCAGTCAAGGTATCTCTTTTCTAACTATGGAGTCAAGAGCATGAAGGTTGAGTTTCAGCTTCCTGCTTTTCAGATAGCAGAGAACTAGTTATGCAAATATAAATATACTTACTTGCAATGAAATTCTTTTGGCTCGTTCCACAAATTACAAGAAAAAAAAATCATCAGCAAACCTGAGAGAAGCAAAAGCGTAATCAATCACCGAAAGCCCACTGTTAAAAGATACTGGTGTTCCCTGGGAGGGATCCCAAGGTCTCATCTAGCCTTCTGCAAACAGGATATGAACAAGGATGAGTTTGTCACCTTAACAAACGGGGGCCAACCCAGTGAGGAGGGGGCTCCTTTGAAGCAAGCACCTGTCCCTCCTTGGGTGACTAGACGGAAACTAGGCAATTAGAACAGGAAAGTCAAGTGCTAACAACACTCGATCGTCATGGTATGTATAGTAGATGGAATACAGCCTTACAGAATCAGCAGACTAGGGTCACTGTCCTCTTCTGACTCCCACCCGTGGGACCTTGAACAAGTTGCTTACCCTCCCTAGACCTCAGTTACCCCATCTGTAAAATTGGGGTTTGGTCTCAGCGGCCTCTGAGCTCCCTTTGAGGTCTAAATGTGATCTCATAATTTACTGGTTGCACGGTCTATAAGCAAGCAACGTTTTGTCTCTTAGCCTCAGTTTCCTCATTTGTAAAATGGCCTTTAAGGTCCCTTCTAGTTCCGTATATATGCAAATTGGTTCTTTTCCATTGAGATAATTAGCTGGGACTTGTTTAGTCAGCATGGATGGAGGGCATCGGCTCCCACTGGTGGCTGATGGCTGCGGTCCCCAGAATGAGCCCTTGTGTAACTTCTCCATCTGTTTCATTTCCCCTCTGAGAAGCTCTGTCCATCATGCCCATCTGTTCCTTGGCCCTCCTGGAGTTCGGCTACTCCGGGCTACGTTGGCTGGGAGTTCAGGGAACAGATACTCAGTGATCTCAGAACATGACATTGGGCTTGTCACCGTGAGTGGGTTTTCCACGGGTCACTGAGGACTTTCTGCATCTCTGAACAAGTGGGGTTTTCCGTTTTTCAGACTGAAAGGCCTGGGGGAGAGAGCAGGGAATGTGCCGAGAGGCCTCTTCTCCCTCTACCTCTTAGATTCCGGTTCCGGCCAGCAGGCTTTGGGACTGACTTCTGAGGCCAATCTGTTAGAAGCCCCTCCTTTCAGGCTGCTGTAGGGGCTTTTTGGCCATCGAGAGCAACCAGACCGCTCTTGTGGTTTCTGATGTGGTCTTCAGCAGTTAACCGTAGACTCACAAGCCATTGTTAGTGTGAAACAGTCCAAACTGATTGTGGTTCACAGTCCATCAGCATTTCCAAATTGTTTTGACCTTTTCACTCCCCCCTACACAACAATAACTTAACGATAATTAACAAACAAAAGTCATTTTCCCCAACCCTACCACTCACAAAACAGGAGCTCTAAAAATCTGGTTATATGTAAAAAGGTGAGAGAGAACAGGACATAGTGGAAAAAGGGGGCATGCTTTGGAACTGACAGGACCTAGGTTCAAATCTGCCTTTGACACATGGTGGGTGTGTGACCTTGGGTAAGTCATAGGCCTTCTGGGTGCCCCAGGCAGCTTTCTAAGAGTCTAAATTCCAGCCCAGCGGCTGATCTGCCTCCATCCAGGCTATCCATGTCCACAGAGACTCTGCACCCCCTCGATTCCTTCAGGACTCAGCTTCAGGACCCACAGAAAGCCTTGCCTGATCCTCTCCACATGACAGCTACCTCTTTCCTCAAATAATCACGTTGGTGATTATCTTTTTGTATGTTTATATGTTATATCCCACCCCATCCCACAATGTCAGGAAAGCAGCACAGTGGAAAGTCAAACCCCGACTTTGGAGTCATAGGGCATGGGTTTGAGTCCCACCTTGGATACTACCTTTTTGCCTTGGATAGGTGACTTCAACTCCCTGGGCCTCAGTTTCTTCATCTGGAAAATGAGGCATAAATGACATGTGAGGTCCCTTATAACTATAAGTAATCCCTGAGTGAAGGAACAGTTCTCTATTTTGCCTTGTGTTTCCAGTGCCTTGAATAGTACCTTGTATACAGTCAGTATTTAATAAATGCTTGTTGGATCAGATTGGCTTTGATCACTGGAGGTCATGTCCGTGTTAGAAGCTCCTTATAGCAATGAAATCATGGCTATTGACCCCCTCCCTTGTATGTGTCTCTGCCTGCCTGCCCATCTTTCTTGCCTTCTTTCCTTTTCTCTCTCCCTCCTTCTCTCTCTCCCCATGTCTCTGTCTTTCTCTCTCTCCCTCTATTTGTATGTGCATATACATATATCCATACACATATGCATACACATGTGCACATGCATACACATACATGTATGTATACGTGACCTCAAATGAGATTGTGTTTGCATAACACTTTGCAAATTTAAAAATACTCAAAGAATTTATGTTAATATCATCGGCATAAGATCAGAGAGCTGGGAAGGACCTCAGATCATCTAGTGCAATCTCCTTATTGTACAAAGGAAGAGACTGAGGGTCAGGGAGGGAAGAGGATTACCTAGGGACTCATAGCTCTTAAGTGTTGGAGGTGGGATTCAAACTCGGGTCCTCTAACTCCAGAGACAGTGTTCTTTTACAAATCTTTGCTCTACCAAACCTGCACTGATGCACAGTTAAAAGATGGAGTAACTCTGGAGAAATAATCAAAATACTTTCCCTTTTGTATTCCCATCTCCCTCTTTTTGGTTTGAGGTGGATGGCAGAGGTGGTGATGAGAGCTACATTTGTCTCTCTGGGTCTGTCCCACCTCTGCTCTCTGGGATTTTATGACTAAATAACCGATCCCAGAAATATTTTTTGAATACACTCTGCATGACTCTCCCAGCTCTGGTTTCCAGAATGATTAAAGCAAGAGAATTTGGATTCCTCAGGACCACAAGCACTAAGGATGCAGGTTTCCTCCTGGGGTTGTGTTTGTAACACACCATCATTCCCATCACAAGATGAAGGAGAACCAGGACATTCTGCAATGTGGTCTTTGGCGACAGCAGCTTTGCTGATTTCTTTTTCCTTTTCCCTTACAGGTGTCATCCTGGGAGCTGTATGTGGAGGTCTTCTTCGCTTGGCGTCCCCCATTCACCCCGATGTGGTCATGTTAATAGCATTTCCAGGAGACATCCTCATGAGGATGTTAAAAATGCTCATTCTCCCTTTAATCATCTCCAGCTTAATCACAGGTGAGATGGCTAGGATGTAAATCTGTGAGACACATGGGCCCTTGTCCTGGTCCACCCACTCACCACAAACTGAAGATTTAAATCCAATTCAAATGGAGCAACCAGTCAGTAAATAGTGTTTCTCTTGTATTGACTATCATTGTTGGGGAAACTGAGGTCTGATCTGAGTAGGTGGTGGGCAAGTTATCTCCCCTACCTGGATGGCCATTGCTTCATTTGGGAAATAAAACAATGTCTCCTACCTCCAATTACAGTTAATACAGTAAAAGACCTAGATGGTGCAGTGGACAGAATGCTGGGTCTGGAGTCAGGAAGACCTAAGTTCAAATTCAGCCTCTGACACTAAGTAGCTGTGTGACCTTGGGCAAGTCACTTAACCTCTATCTGCCTCAGTTTCCTCATCTGTAAAATGGGGTAATAATAGCACCTACCTCCAGGAGTGTTGTGAGGATTAAATGAGATAATAATTGTAAAGTGCTTAGCACAGTACCTGGCACATAGTAGGTGCTATATAAATGTTGGCTATTATTATTATTATCTTTCAGGGTTATTGTGAGGATCAAGTGGGATAATATTTGTAAACTATTTTCCAAACCTTACAGCAACACATAAATCCTGACAATTATTATTTAGAGATGGAAGGGACCTCAGATGCCTTTTAGTTCAGCCCCCTCACTTTACAGATGAGGAAACTACAGCTCAGATAGTTGGTGTGACTTGTCCAAAGTCGCACAGGTGAAAGTACCAGGGCCAGGATTTGAACCCAGGTCCATGACTCCCAAGCCAGTATTCTTTCTACCGTACCAAGCTAAAAGCACTATACTCTGAACAGTCGATCCAAATTGCCAATGCGGATGATAAATGAAACAAAGTAGCACAAAATCAAAGGAGAAATCTGAAAGAAAGTCCAAGAAAATCTCAAAAACATGACTATCGGGCCAAATAGAAAGATGCTGTAGTCCTACCAATGTGGAAACATGGCTTATGAGACACAGGGTTGATTTTTCGGTCCCTAGGTCGAGGACTCAATACTTTTTTGTACTGCATTTCACCTTGTTTGATTTAAGCCATTGTTCTAGCATGCCAGAACCTTTTTTGATTCTGTCTCTGTGATCCAAAGCATTCATTTTCCCTCCCAGCCTTGATTTTTCTGCAAATGATGAATGTCCACTCTTTGGGGCTGAATGCCATAGTCAAGGACAGATAACTAGGAGGGATTAGGTCATAGTTTTCCCAGCTCTATTTCTTTCTTCTCTAGGTCTCTCCGGCTTGGATGCTAAAGCCAGTGGCCGCCTGGGGACAAGAGCCATGGTCTACTACATGTCTACCACCATCATTGCTGCTGTTCTAGGAGTCATTTTGGTCTTAGCCATCCACCCAGGGAACCCTAAGCTGAAGAAGCAGCTGGGACCTGGGAAGAAGAATGATGAAGTGTCCAGCTTGGATGCCTTCCTTGACCTTATCCGAAACCTGTTTCCTGAAAACCTTGTCCAAGCATGTTTCCAACAGGTAACTGAACGTCTTCCTTTTTCCCACTTAATTTAACCTTCTTGCAGGTGTAGAGAGGTTATCCTTAGGACTCTGGTAAGGAAAACTAAGGGATGATCTGGGTTGTGATCTCTCTCTCTCTCTCTGTCTTCTCCCTGTCTTTCTGTCTTTGTCTCTCTCTGTTTTTTGATCTGTTTCTTGCTTGTTCTCTGACTGTCTCTGTCTCCCTGTTTCAGTATCTCTTTTTATGACTCTATCTTTTTGTCCCTTTCTCTCTCTTTATCTCTGTTTCTCTTTGTCTCTGTCTGTCTTTCTCTGTCTCTGCCTCTTTGTGTTTCTCCTCCCTCCCTTTTCTCTCCCTTTCACCCCTTCTCCCCTTCTCCCCCTCTCTCTCTCTCTCTCTCTCTCTCTCTCTCTCTCTCTCTCTCTCTCTCTGTCTGTCTCTCTCTCTCTGTCTCTCTCTCTTTCTCTCTCTCTCTCCCTCTGTCTCTCTGGTCTCCCTTCCTCCTTCCCTTTCCCTCCCTCCTTCTCTCTGTCTCTCTGCCTGTCTCTGTCTCTCTCTGCCTGCCTCTGTCTCTCTCTCTGTGTCTCTCTCTGTGTGTCTCTCTGCCTGTCTCTGTCTCTTTCTCTCTGCCTCTTTCCCCTTCCTTCTCTCCTCCCCTCTCTTTCTCCTCTCCTGTACTTTTCTTGACCCACCTGTCACCGCCCTATGGGTTCCTCATTCTCTTCTCCTAAAGGACATGCTGATCCCATGCTCTGTCCCTTCAGTGCCCTTTCAGTGAGAGGCAGAATATCAGAGTGGACAGAATGCTGGACTTGGAGGAAGATCTGAGTTCAAATCTTGCCCCTGACCCTCACTAGCTGTGTGAGCAGAAGCAAGTCACTTTACTTTTCTAACCCTGGATTTCCTTATCTGTAAAATGGAGATAACACCTGAAGTACCTATTTCACAGGGTTACCAGGAGGCTCAAATCACCTAATGTCACCTAATAGTAAAGCACTTCTCAAGCTTTTACGATTACTATGTGTGACCTTCACCTCCCTTGGCTTGAGTTTCCTCATCTGTAAAATGGGACTGCATGCCCTCTGAGGTCCCTCCCAGCTGCAGCTCTATGGTCCTTATTGTTCATTGCTCCCAGAAGCCCTGTCATCTGAGAGTAGAGGTCTTCAAGTGCCCATCACTTTGTTGGTAGCCACAGCATAGAGTGTGTCTGAGGGATACCAGCAAGTCTCCTTCTACCCAAGCAGTTTTATCTTTCTAGGCAAAACCACTCAGAACCAAGCAATTAGTGGGCAGCCATGTGGCTTGGTTAGTAAACCCCAAGTCCTCCTGGCTTGCCAGAGATATTCTTAGATCTTTCCCAGATTATTTGCGCTATGGGATGGTGGCTCCTGGAAGCTGGACAGGGTGGACAGTTGTGGAGGCGGGGGAAGGGGTAGACAAGGACACTTCTAGGTCCTCTTCCTCCTCACCCTAACTCACATCCTAATTCTGGGACATCCTACGGGCGTGAAGGAGACACTCATTACCCACTCTTGGTCAGGTATAAACTCTGACTTGTTTTTTTTTCCAGCGTGGGATGGGGAGGGAGGAGGATGTTTTTGTCTTGACATAAACACTGTCTTGGACCCTGGCCTCCCTTTTGACCAGTGGCCTGTGTTTGCAAAATGGCTGGCTAGTGTGAGACAGAAGACTGTTTCACCGTTCCAAGGGGGCTGACCCTTTGGACCTTCACATCATTAGGACCCTATTCTGACCAGCTGAGCTCAGGCCCCCAGTACTCACTCCCTCTTAAAAAAAAAGGTCTCAAGTCCTGTACTGTCCTGCAGAGAAGGAGTATCTGCAGGTCATGCTTTGCAATTATTGTATTCCTTGGAACTTGAATTAAATCTGACTCCAAGATCTCAGGATGGGTTGGAAAAGTGGGGATAAAGGGACCCATGAAGCAGTATTATTTCAGCAGAGTGCTTCTTCTTGGCACAGCAGTGTGTCTGGAGGGCCACTGAGACAGTGACCCTGAGATGAGACAGGAAATGTAGGACATTGGGTAGGAGACACCATCCAAAGCCAATTCAGTTATAGAAACAAGACTTGTTTTTAGGGCAGTGGAATCTCCCATCTCAAGATGACTTCCAATCCAATCCAATAAACATTTATTAAGCACCTACTGTATGCCAGGCACTGTGCTAAACTCTGGGTTTGTATGTGGTTTCTTGGTTTAGCTTTAAAGATATTCTAATTTCTTTTACTTCTTTTCCCTTTTGTCCCTAATGTCAAGAACTGCCCATACTTGTTGATCATAAATTCCTAAAATGACAGAATTTTCTCAAGAGAGTTCTCTTAAGGGAGTGTTATAATAATGACTTTGAGGTAAGCCCTGTCACTTACTAGTTGACAGCTAGGTGGTGCAGTAGAAAATGCACTGAACCTGTAACTAGGAAGAACTGAGTTCAAATCCACACCCAGACACTTAGTAGGTGCGTGACCCTGGGCAAATCACTTCACTTCTGTATGCCTCAGTTTCCTCAACTGTAAAATGCAGTTAATAACAGTACTTTGACAGTGTTTGGCCCAGTGACTGGCACATAGTAGGCTGCAAATAAATGCTTGTTCCCTCCTCTTCTCTAGTTCTGTGACCTTGGACAAGGCACATGACCTCTACCATCTTCAGTTTCCTCTTTAAAGTGTATGTGGGCAGCTATGTGGTGCAGAGGATAGAGCACTGGGTCTAGAGTAGGAAGACTCATCTTCTTGAGTTCAAATCTGGCCTCAGACACTAGCTGTAGTACCCAGGGAGACCTGGGCAAGTCACTTAACCCTGTTTGCCTCAATTTCCTCATCTATAAAATTAGCTGGAGAAGGAAATGGCAAACCACTCCAGTGTCTTTGCCAAGAAAACCCCAAACTGGGTCATGAAGAGTCAGACGTAACTGAAACGACTCAACAATGACAACTATATATATATATATATATATATATATATATTTGTATAATTATACCTGTAGTATAACAAGACCCTGTCCTACACTAACAGGAGGGTTACTCCAGGAGTGACATGGAGCTGGGCACCACATTTTAGCAAAGGTATTTGGGAGCTGCTCACTGAGAAGCCTGTGAGCAGCGAATCCATTTCCTGCTAAGAAAATGGCAGGTATCTTTCCATCTCACCTTGTCTAGTTTGCAGGAGAAGGAAGAGATCCAAGACTAGCCCTGTTAGCTAACATAACAGTGTGTGTGTAGGTATGTGTATGTCATACGTGTATGTATTGTATGCATATGTGTGTGTGTGTATGTGAAGGGAACAGAAAGATGGTGAACATCTGGTCATGATCTCCACATAATCCAGGAGTTCTTAACCTAGGGTCCACAAACCTGTTTTCTATAAGATTTCGATAATTGTATTTCAGTATAATTGGTTTTCTTTGTAATCCTATGCATTTTTAACATGTAAAATCATTCTTCTGAGGAGGGACCAAAAGGCTCCTTCAGACGGCCACAGGGATCCATGACAGAAAAAACATTAAGAAGTTCTAAGCTAATCCCTCTCCCAGGCTATGATGAGTGGGGAGGGCGGGGGAGTTCCTTAGGTTTCTTTACAAAGCTTGTGAAATGAACCTTACATTGGTTCATAAGTGTTGTTTTCTTTTTCACTCCTTCAGATCCAAACAGTGACCAAGAAAGTGATGGCCACCCCTAAACCCAACGAAGAAGTCAATGCCACCGGCTCCATCCTCTCTCTGCTGAATGACACCAAGACCGAGGTCCCCGAGGAAACCCAGCTGATTATTAAGAAAGGCTTGGAGTTCAAGGATGGGATGAATGTCTTAGGTAGGGAGCCCCTTCCCCCTTATATCACGTGGCTCTTTCTTTGCTTGTCCACCCTACTCAGGGAGATCCTCACTTTGTTAAACTGACTCATTTTTTCATCAAGAAGAGGAAAGGGATATGGTTTGATCTGAAGACCGAGAGATGAGACCGAGGACCAGAATATATCAGACTTAGAGAGAGGAAAACTTTTACTTCCTAGCTGTGGGAATATAGGCAAATCACCATCTGCCTTAAGCCTCAGCTCTCTCATCTACAAAATGGGGAAGAATAATAGTATTTATTATAGTAAATATTTACCTTACAGGGCTCTTATGAGGCTCCTTGTCTTGTATCCCTAATGCCTGGCACATAGTAGGTCCTTCATAAATACTTTTTTTTTTAGGCAATTGGGGTTAAGTGACTTGCCCAGGGTCACACAGCTACTCAGACCAAGTGTTTGGTCTGAGGTCGAATTTGAGCTCAGGTCCTCGACTTCAGGGCCAGTGCTCTATCCACTGCGCCACCTAGCTGCCCCCATAAGTCCTTTTTGATTGATAGGATCATGTGTGTAAAAGGCTTTGTGAACTTTAAAGCACTATATCAATATAAGCTATTCATTTTCCTATTGCTTCTCTCCAGCCATCACTCCTGGTCCAGTATTTGCCTCCGCCACCTCTTTGTACTGTTTATTTTATTCTTTAAGGTTTGCAAAACACTTGACATGTTACCTTATTTGATCTTCACAACAACCTGAAGTACTATTATTAGCCCCATTTTACAAATGAGATCACTGAGGCACAGAGAGGTTGAGACTTGCCCACGGTCACGAAGCCACAAAGTATCTGAGGCAGGATTTGAACTCCCATCTTCCTGACTCCAAGTCTAGTACTCCACCCACACACTAACTGCCTCTAACTTAGAGCCTGGCCCATGGCAGTCACTGAGTTAATCCTTGCTGATTGCTCCTCATTCTCTAGGCCAGTTAGTGTCCTCTCTGCATTCTCCCCCTTTGGCAGGCAGGTTTTGTCCCGTAGTACCGCTATGATTCCCACTGGGTTATTGCGGGTATCAAGTGAAAAGTCATTGTCATTATTGTGTCTTGACGGTACTTGATGGTTTTGATAGGATGATGGTGCCTAGGGTTGCCTAGAAGGGTGTGGGTAGTTAAAAAGGATGGGAGAGGAGGAAGGGGATGATAAAAGGGATGAGGAAAGATAGGAGAGGGACAGAAAAACCAATCTCCCCCCTTACTTACATCATTATTTCTCCTGATACCAGCCCAGCCCTTATGTTCATATCTCCCATCTTTGGGAACCACTGCTTAGATATCCCTCTGATTAGGGCCCATCTGGAGATTGGTGCATGGGAACTCCAGCTGCCAACATCTTTCCCAAAACAAAATCTTGTGTTTGTTGAAAGGATTCATTCTGTTAGGTGAGAGATCAGCCTTCAGCTTCATAGTCTGTTACTTCCTAGCTATGTCACTGTGGGCACATTACTTAAATCTCTTTGAGCCTCAGTTTCCTCATCTGTAAAATGGGATGAGGCTATTAGGAAAGTAAGTTAGAAAACTTAGTGTCATAGAAATAGGACCTGAAGAAGCAAGCACCTACCATGAGCCAGGCACTGTGTGGAGTGCTTTAAAAATATGGTTTCGTTTGATCGTGACAACGACTTACCCGTTTTATTGTTGAGGAAACTGAGGCAAACAGGGAGGGGTGTAGTAACATAGGGGTTTGGATAGGACCTAAAAGTTCATCTAATCCATCTTCCTCATTTGACAAATTAGGGCAAATGAGGCGTGGAAAAGAATTGTCTGCGGTCACAGTTAACCATAGAAAGCTTGGATCTGAACCTAGGTTGTTTGGCTCCAAATCCACCCAATAAGTAATAGTGACCACAAAGAGAAGCATGCAGGAGGGGAGGAGGAATTTTTCCTCCATTGCTAAGGATGTTTGTCCAGCAACGTCCTGTGTCCCCACAACCAAAAAGCTGTTCTGCTCCCCAGCTTGGGTCTCCACGATCCTCTCAGGCCATTCTCTGTGGAGCCAGGACTCCCCTACTTTGTGAAATGCTACACCATTTGCAGGAGTAACCCAAACAGTTTCCTACACAGCCCAGAGGAGATGCAGCTTTGTGAAGAATGGGGTCAAGCCTTGGGCATGAATCACCCAGGAGGTTTCCAGAGATGTCTTCCAATGCTGCGGATTCTGGGAAGCCACCTAACCTTGAGCCCTTGGGGGGGGAGGGGGACTGCTGAGTTCCAACCCAAGTTCATTCACACAGGACTTGGCCCTCTGGTCAGATCTGGAGATGAATTGCTCAAATCGGTCAGGCCCCCATACAGGGGAATTCGGTTGATTATGCGATGTTTACAGAGGGAAATGAAAAGTCTTGGATTGTTTTCCAAGGGCAGTGTAAAACTTTGGAAAAACCACAGGCAGCCTCCTGAGAGACTTCCCATTTAGAAATCCCAGCAGAAAGCCCGGTTCTTTCCTAGTCCCTCTCTCTGGAGGGCTGCCACTGTGTTTTCTTCTTTTCTTTTCTTTCTTTCTTCTTCTTCTTCTTCTTCTTCTTCTTTTTTTTTTTTTTTTTTGTTTGGCCTGGGAAAGGCCCTAGGGTAAGACCTCACAACAAAGAAAGGCAGAGCCCTCATTCTAAAGCACTCTTTTTAGCTTAAACCACTTCTCTGTGGGCTGGCCACCAGAAAAAGATCCCACAAATCATCTCTGAGAACTGAGATTCCTACCATTCCTGAGGTGGGAATCTTTGGCCTTTGATTACACTTCCCCCCAGGGTGTTGAAGAAGACTTCTGCTGGTATTTCCAACATGAAAAAACCAAAAATTTATCCCACAGCATTTCTTCCAGAGATATTACAGATTCCCATGGTTGAGAGAGACCTCACAGGCCAACCCATACTCACCGAAGGATTCCCTCTAGGATTATACATTTAGAACTTAAAGTCATCTGGTCCAACCTGCCCTTTTAACTGATGAGGAAAATGAGGCCTGGAGCATATAAGTGGCTTACTCAAGGGCACATTGCTCATAAGTGGAAGAGCCAAGATTTGGATCCGAGCCCCCTTTTTACTGTACAATTACTTTATAACATAACCAACAAGCGAGTGTCTAAACATTGCTCACAGACCTCTATTACCTCCTGAAGCAGCCCATTCCACTTTTTTCCCTTATGTGAAGCTTATACTTTCTTCTTTGCAATTTCTATCCATTACTCCTCCTCCTCTCTGGGGTCCAGCAAAAAACACGTCACATCCCTCTTTCACATTGCATCCCTTTGAATGCTTGGTGATAGCAATCATGTACCCTTAAGTGAGGGGCTCTTAACCTGAGGGAACGGATTGTACAGGGTCTGTGAACCTGGATTGGGGAAAAAGTAACATCTTTACTTTCACTAACCATTCAGGAATTTCACATTTCTTTCCAAGGTCCATAGGCTTCACTAGACTATCAGTGGGGTTCATGACACCGAAAAGGTTAGGAACGCCTTCCCTAGGCCTTCTACTCTCTAGGCTTAATATCATTTGTTCCTGCAATCGCTACTCATGTATGGGAATGATTTTGAGGCCTTCACTATCCTGTTTTTTTCTGTATACTCTACAGTTTATTCACGATCTAAAATGTGGCTCTCAGAGCTGCACCCGGTCCTTTGGCTGGGATCTCTCCAGACCAGAGGACAGCAGGCTTGGACACGGTGCCTCTCTTGATACAGCCTGAAATCGTCTGGGGCTGGTGCTTCCTAACCGTACATCTGGATACATCCATTTTGAAGTCTGTTTGATGGAAAGTTTCCAGATCTGTCCTGGATCCAATTTTCACAAAGCCTAGGGCTTTCCTAGGCCAATCACTTTTTCCTTGGAGGCACTCAATTGGCTCTACTGCCAGTGTATCCAAAAAGAATTGCTAACGACCAAGTGGGTACCATTAGCAAATAAAAGCATCAGGTTATGTTTGTGTCCTAAGAACTCTGTCTCCTAGACTTTATGAGAAATCTCTTAACCTCCACCAATGTTAAAAGATGCTAAGGCAACTGGGATTGTTTTCTATGTGTGATATGATGGAAGTGGTGATGGTGGTAGGAGAAAGAAGGGGGCAGGGTTAGTGGCAGAGAACTTATATTAGAGAAATAATGTTAATCCAAGTTTGCTGGGAGCAAAAATTGTTGTGTTTATATAAACCCCAAACAACCAGTTAAACAATGAAAAATGGAATCAAACCAGTTATTTTCTTATTTAGACTCAAAGAAAGGAAAACAAAGGAAGAAAGGAGAAGAAAAGAAACCATTTGTTTAAATCTACACAAACTGATTTGTTATGTGTAGACCAAGGGCAGTCTTGGGTCCTTCAGCAATATTTGATTAATTTCACAATGAGGCTTGTGCCAATTTCAAAAGAATGAAAATGGATCTCATTGTTTTAAGAATTCCACATCAGATTTTGAGACAGTGGGAGACACCCTAGGATGTCCTTACAAGAAGTTAAAGAAAAACATGGTATTGGTGTAGGGTTTCAATAATGCAGCTTATAGAAGCATTCTCCTGGATCTGAAGCTGGAAGAGCCAAGTCTAAAGTCATCTCTACACTTTCTTCCCTGCATAGCTCTGGACGAGTTGCTTTGCCTCCCTGGCCTCAGTTTCCTCCTCTGTAAAATGAAGGACTGGACTAAATGGCTTTTGAGGTCTTTTCCAGCTCTGGAGCTGTGCTCCTGTCTTCCCATGAGCTTTCTGGACCTTGGTTCTTCGTGTGTAAAATGAAAGGGTGGACCTTAAGTGATCTCTAAGGTCCCCTTGGGCTCCCCACCAATGATGTCGTAAGACTTCATTGAGAACATCTGCTGGCTGTCCCCCACTGCCTCCCATACTGCAATGAGAGTTCTAACACCTGCCATCTAACCCCCAAGTCCCAACAAGCCTTTCCCTGATTAATCCATGATTATATGGATTTCTATTACAAGTGATTTCATAGGCAAGAGGAGAGGAAAAGGGGTTAGCTAACCTTCAGATTGGAATGAAAATAAATTCAGCTGCTTAATGATTTTAACAGTCTCTTACATCACAATCTTGCTCATATGGAAAATGTTTAGGAGGGGTATAGTTATCCAGGGAGAAGGCATTTCCATTGTAAATATAATGCATTTTATTTTCAATGATTAATTATTAGGCTTATAGGTCTAGGTGGTACAGTAGATAAGAGTTCTGGGCCTGGAGTCAGAAAGTCTTATCTTCCTAAGTTCAAATCTGGTCTCAGATACTTACTATTTGTATGAAATGGGGCAAGTCACTTCACCCCGTTTACCTCAGTTTCCTCACCTGTAAAATGAGCTCAAGAGAGAAATGGCAAACTACTCTAGTATCTTTGCCAAGAAAACCCCAAATGGGGTCACATAGAATTGGACATGAGGGAAACAACTTAACAACAACAGACTCATAAGCTATTATTCACTGAACAACATGATGCAAGAAAAAGAAAGGTGGATTTGGAGGCAGAGGACCTAGGTTCAAATCCCTCTCATTTATCAACTGTGTGACTCTGGGAGAGTCACTCTCTTCATGCCTCAGTTTTCATTCATCTATAAAGTGAGGTTAGACTTTATAGCCTCTAATCTCCCTTCTGCCTCTAAATCTATGGTTCTAAGATCTTGCCACATTTGGGGTCTTGGATAATTCAGTTCAACAAATATATGTTGAGTACCTGCTGTGTGCCAGTCACTGTGTTGAATGATGAGGATACATGTGCAAGAATGAGGGTATTCTTGTCCTCAGGGAGCTGACATTCTACTGGGGAGGTAGCAGTGGGAAGGGACAACACATATACAGAATAGGAAATATAAATCAGATTCAAAGTAATCATTTTGAGAGGGGAAAAGAAGATAAACAACCAGGGGAAAGATCAGAAAAGCCTTGTGCAGAAACGGCCTCTGAGCTGTGTTTCAAAGGCCTCCAGGGATTCTAAATGGCAGAGTTGAGAAGGAAATGAATGCATTCCAGACAGACATGGGAGCCAGCTGGTAGAAAGGCATGGTGATGAGAGGTGGAGCTTTGACTTTCAAGCAAAATCAGCATTTGTTAAGCATTTACTATGTACCAGGTGCTATGCTAGGCACTGAGGCTGCAAATATAAGCAAAAAGAAAGGCAGTTCCTGCCCTCAAGGAGCTTACCTTGGAAGAAGACAACACACAAAAAAGACCTGAAAAGTAAGAGATCAGAGGTTGGAGGTGAGATGATGATACCCGTGCAGGAGTATGGTGTTGAAGTCCAGAAAGTCACAAACATGGAAGCATGGACAGACTGGACTCCTTCCCAAAATGGAGGCCCTGGGAGGAATTCACCAATGGGAGAACATGGTAAAATATGCCAGGGTAAAAAGGCCCTAGATGTTAAAGGAGTTTCCAGGGTTAGAATACAGCTAAGGAAGAGTGTTGAAGTCCACAAAGTCAGGAGCGTATATACAAATATTCAGAGAATAGCTCGCAAGTCACTTTGGCTGGAGTGGAGAGAGTGGGAAGGAAAGGGACATAAAATCAACCTGGACAAGTCACTGAAACTCTCTGGTCTTCAGTTACCTTGTTTTTAATATGTGAGTTTGAAACTAAATCACCTCTAAAGTCCCTTACACATAAGAGTGTTTAACAAGAGACTATGGGACAGGGAGAGGAGAGGAAATATTTGCACACACACATATGTATGTGTATGTCTATGTGCATACTTAAATTTTATATGTGTGTGTATGTATGTATATATGTATACATGACGTACTTTTAGTTTAATTTACATCATCAACACTTTTTCCATCACTTTCTTCAGTCTAGACAAAATAATACATCAAGTCATGACTTGTAGAATTTGCCAATTTCTGAAATGTGAATGCTCTCACTGAAAAATTTAACATCCAGCTCTTTTGATCTGATTGGAGTTGGTTTCAGCACATCCCTGCTTATAGCTTGAAGTTTATGAGTCTATCATCTGAAATGCCAATAAAAAGGGCAAAACATCTTCTTTATCTTATGTCCTTTAATGTGATGTGATTCATCCAACAGGTCTGATAGGTTTCTTCATCGCTTTTGGCATTGCCATGGGGAAGATGGGAGAACAGGCCAAGCTGATGGTTGATTTTTTCAATATCCTGAATGAAATTGTCATGAAATTAGTGACCATGATCATGTGGTAAGTGGGACTTGTTTATACCTGGTTCTTCCAAAAATATGAGGATTGATTCACTTATAGATTGTAATGGGAGAATCTGAAAAGCAAAAGAGAGCTTAGAGGTCATAGACTGATCTCTCATCCAATGCAAGAATACTCTTTATGATATCCCCGACAAACAGCCATATACCTTACAGTTAAATATGTCAAGAGTACAGCAATTTTGTTTGATGTAAAATTGGCCAAAAGTTCCAGCCCCACCAGCACTGCATGGGTCTTCTCAGTTTTATTACTGAATTGATTTATGTGATAGCCAAGGATACTATGACAGAGCCTGCTGGCTGTATAGTTTAAAAGCCCCAGGGGCCATCTTTAACTCTTTGGGAATACAAATCCCAGCCAACCACACCTAGTCAGCTAATTATAAAAGTCCTTTGTCATTTTGAAGTCTATGTTTTGAACTAATTTTCTCTTTCTGTAGATCTTAGTCCCTCAGTTTGAGCAATTTGAATTATGATCCAAAATTCCTTTTAACTCCAATTATATCCATGAATCACCGGTCAGTCCTTCTTCAAATCATCCTAGGGGATCTGCTTAATAATACCACAAAGGACTGAGTAGGGTTGGGGTGAAGTGACCTTTTCAATCCTGATCCCACATAAAGCCCCTCATTGCCAGACAAATCAACTTGGGAACAAGACTGAAAAGGCCATTTCCAAGTGGAACGGGATAACTGTTGACCTTTGACCTACTTCAATAAGGATTTATTAAAGTTTCTATTATGTTCAAGTCACTGTGCTACTTGTTAGGGATACAAAGGAAGAAAACTCAACAAGTCTTGCCCTCATGGAGCCTATACTTAGTTAGAACAACAAGCAATATCTCTGTATTCCCCACAAATGCATGCAGGGGAAGGAAGCTTACTAACTCAAGAAGCAGTCCATTACATTTTTTGACAGCTCTAATTCAACCTAATTCTGTATAGCTTCAGAGGGTAAGAACTAGGAACCATGGGTAAAAGTTACAGGGAATTGGATTTTTGCCTGATTTGTCCTCAAGCTAGGAAAATAGGAGTCCCAATCCTGCCTCCAATAACCTACTAGCTATGTAACCCTGAACAAGACACTTATGCTTTCTCAGCCTCAGTTTCTCCACCTGTAAAATGAGGGAATTAGTCTCAAAAGCCCCTAAGGTCCATTCCAGTCCTAAATCTGTGATCCTAATCCCTCTTCCCAATAACTTTCAGCTATTTGAACACACCCATCATGTCCCCTTGCCCCCATATTCCTTTCTCCCAACTACATATATCTCCTTTTCATTTTTCATAGGACAGGATTTTAGACCCCATCCCTTGTCTTTTTTGAATGCAGAGAGTGCAAGTGGAATTATTATCTCCCTACTTCTGTAAACTCTCAGCAAATGTAGCCTGGGATTGAATTAGTTTTTTTGCTATCACATCACACTATAGTCTGGAGAATTAAGCCCCTAAGCCTTGCTTAGCCACATTCTCTCATGCAGTAGCTTGTGTTTTCAATGAAAAGGAAGGACTTTTTTAAGATGATATTTAGTAGGAAGAAATAGTTTTGTTCCATCATTCCAGCTTGCTGATTTTTTTATACTGATTCTACCATCCAACTCATTAACTTTCCCTCCCAGCTATAAGAGTTGATAAACATGTCTTCTTTGTTTTCATTCGGAAAAAGTCAAATGCGACTGGGCCAAAGGCAGATTGAAAGCAGAGAATTGCTGGAGGATGTTGGATCACACCTAAGAGGAAAGGAACATGCCAAAGCAAAGGAGAACTCTCCAAAGGAGATTTTGACCCCTTAAGGAAATAGATAAAAATTCTTTTTTGCAGAGCTTCCAGGAAAAACACAAGCATATTGCAAAGATAGTAGATGAAGAGCCCAGCCTTTCTGCTTTCAAGGACTGAAGAGTGAACTCATGCTTTTTGCATGAGAAGCCTGAGACAAAGTTACCCTCTCATGTCCCTTAGGAAGTACCATGTAACTCAACCAGTAAAACTAGGAATGGAGACAAACAAAAAAGCAAAGATGGTGGCCCTACCGGCAAGCTAATTGAAACAAAAGTAAAATGAGCCTTAACACTTCAGAGTTGAAAGAGATCATAGATTTTAGAGATGTATGAAGCCTTACAGGTCATATAGCCCAATGCCCTCACTTTACAAATAAGAAAACTGAGGCCCAGAGAAAGAAAGAGGCTTGCCCAAGGTTATACAGATAGCAAGAGACAGAGCTAGGATTTGAACCCTAGTTCTGTGATTCCGTATTCAGCGTTCTTTTAGGTTTTAGAGAGATCTAGTTCAGAGTTTCCTAACCTGGAATCTATGAACTTGTTTTAGAGATGTGGTGATAATTATATTTTAATATAATTGCTTTCCTTGCTGGTCTCATGTATTTTATTTTATGCATTTAACAACATTACTCTGAGAAAGGGGCCGCACACTTCCCCAAACTGCTCAAGGATTCCTTGGCACAAAAAAGGTTAAGATCCCCTGGTCTTGTGCTATTCTCTTATTTTACAGAGGAAGAAACTCAAGTTCAGAGGTTAAATCTCCACCCCTGTAGGATTAGCAGATTTTTGTCTTACTTGGATTTTCTAGACAAGGGCCTCTATGACAGTTTGGCACCTGCCTACCTTTCCAGTCTTGCCTTATATTACTTCCCTTCATGCATTTAATGTGCTAGCCAAACAATCCTACTGACACAAATGCTCAAGCCTCAGATTCCCTCTCCTGACACCATGCCTTTGAACAGGCTGTGCATTTTGTCTGGAATGCAGTCCCTCCTCACTTCTACCATGAAGCATCCCTGGCTTTCTCAGGGGCTCAAGTGTTTGTTCTTCTGGAGGAAGCCTTCCCTGTTCCTTCCAGGTCTGAGTATTATCTCTTCACATTATCATGTAAATACTCGTTTACATGCTTTGTCCCTTTCTCCACATCTCCCTCCAACCTTTTACAGGAAAATATATGCCCCCTGAGGGCAGAGACTGCTTTTAATATAAATTTTTAAATGCTTTTAATTTTAATTTAAATACAGTGCCTTTCACTTGATGGGAGCTTAATAAATTGAACTGGATTTGCGCATGTAGACAAGCCAATGATTTTGAAATCTAGGCTAGAAATTGACAATGGGATGAAACACATAAGTTCTCTATGAGGGATGCCTCCCAGAGGAACCAGGCCATTGGGCTGCCATGCCCGAGTTTGGCTTCGTACATATGCTCTTCTCTGGGTTGATGTCAGTTATCTCTAAGTGCCCTGTTAGTCTCAGCGGGAGAAGCAAAATGTTAATGATCCAAGCCAGCTTTGCTGTCTGGTTGGATGGGCAACTGTCAGTCCTGCTCCAAGGGTCAAGACAGAAGAGGATAGAGCCTGCTATGCTCACAGCCTGCTTAAAATCCCCATAAAATAGTAGTCCTGGTAGCTGGGTCAACTCGATCTTGATAATGTTATTCATAAAATAGTTGACTCTTCCTGGATCTGGGAGGCTGGTTGTTAAACATCTCAGATGAAGCTGAGACTTCAAGCATTTATTTTGTGAGAAGAGTTGGAGCTCATATGGCAGCCACATGTTTAAATAATCCATTCAAAACTCCCTGAGCCTGATCAGAGAGCTTTAGAAGAACAGAGTTTATAAATACACAATAATAGGGTTAATACGTCTGAATAGCCAGGCTCAGTATCATCTGTTGCCATTTCCAGCAGAATAGTTACTTCAAATACTTTAACAATCCAAAGATCCATGATTTCATTTATGTGAACACTCCTCCTATCTATCAATGCATCACCAAGGAGCTAAGTGCTTATTATATCCCAGGCACTATGCTAGATGATGGGGATAGAAATGAAATCAATCCTGCCATCAAAGAGCTTACAATCTATCCAGGGAGAAAATAACTCTGTAGATAAGTAGATACAGAATAAAGAGGAAAAAAATATATATATATATAGATACATACATACACACACACATATATATACACACACATACACATACATATATAAATTAAAAATAAATATATAATAAAAATAAACAAACAATTCAATAAATAATAATAAATAAAAATAAATATAGAAATATATAATAAAATAATAAACACATAAATATATAATATTTAAAATAAAGAGAATATATAAAGAGAATAAATACAAGCTAGTCGGGGAGGAGGACACTAGCATTTGGGGGACCATTAAGGGCTTCATGTAGAAAGTAGTGCTTGAGTGGAGTTTGGAAGGAAGAGGTGAAAGAAAGAGGTGCAAGGAATGGCCAGTGCAAAAGCATAGACAAGGAAGGTAGAGTGTTGTATGTGAGGAACAGCAAGAAGGCCTCTTTGGCCAGACCACAGAGTATGGGAGGAGGAATAATGTCTAATATGGCTAAAAGAGAGATGGGAGCAAGCTTGTGAAACCCTTTAAAAGACAAATGGAGGGGTTTAGACTTGATCCTAGAAGCAATAAGGAGTCACAAAAATTCAGGCAGAGAGGTTTGTAACATGGACAGACCTATGCTAATGGAAAATCATTTTGGCAGTGGCATTTTACAGATGAGGAAACTGAGGCCCAGAGTAAGAGAGTGACTTAAGGCCATAAGAGCATAGACTTGGAGCTAGAAGAGAATGCAGAAGTTACCTAGTCCTTCTTTTCACAGATGAGGAAACTGAGGCCTGAGAATGTTGTGGGCTGCCCAAAGTTGCGTAGACAGCTAGTTTTTTATTAATCCTTGGCGGATCACTCAATTACTCCAAGGACAAAGTGATTTGTTTCCCAGCCCATCTCCCTAGCTCACCCCCATCCCTCATAAAGAAATGAAATCAAAAGAAAAGATTCTACAGACTTGTACAATAATTGTCCTCCTGTTTTCCATTCTGGCCCTTAGCTCGAAGTCTACTTCTTTCCCAGGGTATTGGGTAGTTTTGGTTAACAAAGACCTACTGATGCCAGAATTAATTATAACCAGTGATTTTTAGGCCCATCTATTCTGCCCATTTATCCAAAGTCA